CTAATGATGCCCAAGAAATAGGTTTTTACCACCTTGAGTTAATGTTCACTTTCCCGAGCGGTGAAATCACTCCAGTTCAAGAGCAAGTACAAGAGCTACTGGATGAGTGTGAGAGACCTGAAAGTGGAAGAGGTGTAGGTGTTGGCAGTGTTGGTGTCCATGAATCATCTCATAGAGAGTAACTGGAGCGAAGCAGCATTTATTCTGGCAACTGGCTTAGAGATGGTCTTGGGGAACTGGAGCAAAGTACGATTATGGCTCTTCAGAGTTTTTTTCTTTAGATGATTATGGCTCTTCAGAGGTTTTTTTTCTTTAGATAGTCCATAATTGTTCCATTTCAGCTCATTTTGAAAAATCTGCTCTGAAAATGCAGAAGAGAAAGACTCGCTCTACAAGAACCCTGTCAAGAAGGTAAGTGTGGAGGAGATACTTGCCGTTACATAGCTTTAGGCTTTTATATTTTCCATTTTTCATGTGGTGAAACCATTTCAGCAAGCGATATAGATTGTGCTGAGCTGTTGTTATGCTTTCAGCTACTGCCTGCCATCCTTCATGAGAACCACGAATTTCTGAATGAGGAAAAAAAAAGGAATTTGAACACTGTCAAACGCGCCGTACCACAAAAGTGGATCAGTCAGGAGATTAGTGAAACAACTCTGTCAAAACAACTTGTCTTCTTGATCTCAAAGCTGATATTTGGGGAGGGTGTTGGGTTCTTAGAAAGCTAACGCATTAAAACTCTGCCCAAACCGTTCTTTTTAAAGGCTTCTAAGGTGATCATGATTTTAATTCTGATTATGAAGCCTAGAAGACCATTCAGGCATCTCTTCTACGCACGTGCCATACCCAATCCATGCCTGAAGAACCTGTTATAAGGGTAGCAATTGCATCTCTAAGGGGCTCCAGCAACCAAACCTGAATCAGCTCTTAAACAAAGAAGATAAAGTTGAGTGCTTCTCTCTCGAGCATCACATGAAGTTCTACCCAGCCTTTCTGACGAGTAATAATAGCGAACTAACCTCTCTCAGATACAACTGCGTTACCACGTCAGATGAGCCAAGTCACTACTCCAGTATACACTCCTTGCCCACAGTGAACGCGAGGTGATTAGCTCTGTTCACAGTCAGAGGGGTGAAAAAATAAAAAGAAAGAAAATCAGTCAAAAATCAAATTACCTCTCATCTGCTGGTCTTCTGCCAGCATGTGGCAACTTCATCAGTGCATCAGAGGAGTGTGTGACACTCAGTTATCAGCTATGTAAAACATCAGACAGCTCAGTCTTTTATTCCAACATCAACCCATGCACGCGAGCCACAAAGTGGGCACCTCTCCAGAGCTGCATCCAATCCCTTTCCCGAATTAGCACTAGAACATCTGCAAATTGTTAATGCCTTATAGCCAGAGTCCATCTCGCAGATAGTGGTGCACAGAAAAGCTGTAAAAATGGTAAAACTTAGCTTGAGGAAAGCAAAAATGTATTCTCCAGGCATCTTTGGTTCACCGGTAGAAAATTTGGGGTGATATCTATGCAAGTGAGATGCTTCCCCTCCCCCAAAGCAATCAACCGGTACATCGTATGTTCTGCCAATGCACCAGTAATTAATGAGACACTTACAGCTGTATATATCTGGCACACTCGTATTTAATTCAGTACTGGCAAGCTTGCCAGCTACCCAGATTCCCCGCACGCTCCCCTCCACCTTCCCCTCTCCTCTCGGAGTTAGAAAACAACCGATGCTGAGTGCAAGTTTTGTGGCATACACTGCGAGGGGGCATCCAGCCCTACCTCCTCCACGCAGAGACAGCAACCACAGCCCTGTTTCCATCAGATTTACTGTTAGATCTTCCTCTCCGTCTCAGAGAAGGAGAGTATTTGGCTAATCAATACGAGAAGTACCCAATGCCTGATGTCACCACAACCTTAGCATTCAATGAAACCCCATTTTCATACAGATAATCTGGGCCTTTTAGTTCTTTGGCAGAAATGGTCATCATTGGCAAAGCTGAAAAGTCAGCATTATTTTGTGACTGCAGCACAGCAGTAAACACAAGGGCAGAATGACACCATGTGAGCTCCACAACAAGAAGATGCCTCAGGGGATGGAAACAACTAATGCCAATAAAAGACTACAAAGATCACCTTTGATGCAAAGAGAAAAGCACATAAGAATATCGGCGTGTGCAATGATTAATTGCAGTTTTCAACTCCACAGCTTAAAACTGCAAAGTATTGCCCTCCTACAGGAGAAGTTTGTTTCTAAATTGGTGGCTCTGCTTGAGAAGATAAAGTTATTCACCCATTTGGCAATAATGATGCTCTTACAAGAGATAATCAACAACCACGTTTTGAAGATTTTCACCTGCTTCACTGCAACCATATGCAGGCAAGTAGATTATTCAAGTCCACTCCAGAGCACACTGGGGAGAAGAAGAGCATTCAGACAAAAGGGACTCGGGGTTTTCAGGTGTCCCTCACGGAATGTCACCATCATGGCCCAAGAGCTGGCCAGCCCATCATGCCACGCTGGGAAGCTCCCAATTAACCCAGTCAAAAGTTCCCATTCACCTTCACCCAGATGGATCGCAAGAATGCCAAATAGCATTTGATGCTTTTATTGCCCAATTTACCCCTGCTAGCTCAAATTCCCGTTTCGTCACAACCAACCAACTCCAGGAGTGACGAAGGACCTGCTGGCTTCATGGATCCTTTCTCCAGGTTAACAAGGCAGCTTCGGCTGCTTCATAACTGTGGTTGCTCCTGTCTCGCTGCAGCCCGAGCACACCGATTGTCCTCTGCTTTCAGGTCCCTTCCATCTTCACCCTTTTTAGAGGGGTTGCGGTATCCTGGGTGAACATTCAAGTCTCACAGCCTTGGTGGGATCTACCCAGGGCTTACTCACCTCTCCCTGTGGTTTGGTTTAATTAATGCAGCAAAGCATAGTTAAATACAGTAACAAGCACATGCTGCAATTGCACCCCAGGCTCCTCCTGGGAGAGCTACTTTATCCTACAGTCAGCAAAGCTACACAAACCCCTGTAACATAATTGACAGTGATCAAAGTGAACCGTGTCAGGATTTTGCTACAAAAAAATATTATTTTTTACACTGATGTGCTACCATTTCTCTAGGAAAGGCATTTTTGGCATCATTCTCTCTCTCCTCCTCCACCCCATACCTTTATTTTACACTTGAAACCCTCCAACTTGCATAACAAGGTTCACCTGCTGCGTACATCGTCATGACTGAGGGAAACAAGAAATGCGATACTTTTGTTTGCTCTCTCTCAACGCAATTGTGAATGAACTCTGGGTATACCCTAGGTTCGTCACTACGCAAACCCAAAATGTAGGTCAAAAGTCTGTGTGGTTTGCCACAGCGAATGACTTGTATTTCATCTGCCTGAAGGCAGATGGGAACTGAGTCATCTGCTGCTGCATCATTCTTTGCTTTTCTCCTTTCCTCAACCCCGGTTTCTTTTTTCTTACCATCAGATTATGGTTGAAAGAATGCAGTGACATCAAAAGACCAGGAGAGCAATGCCTCGTACCGCACATCACGCAGGGAGGGGATATTTCCCTTTTATTTTTTGGTTGAAGCCATGCCTCTTTCCCAACACAGCGCCTACCACACAAGTAGCCACTTTCAAAAGTGAATGCAAATCTCAATTTTCTTCATTTACCTGCTATACTTGTCTTTCATGAGAAGAAATTATCACAGGTGAACGGGGGAAAAAAAAAAATAAAATAAAGGGGTTATTTGACCTACAGGTTGTGGGAGAAGAGCGCACTACCATTTCCATCACTGTTTACTTGGGAGGTGCACTGGTCCTTTGGCACGGCCGCTTCTTATAGCTCCTGAAGCAGGTCTGCCAATCAATTCATGCTGTTCTTTATATTACATTAAATTACATAGGACTGAAGTCTTTTGTGCTAGATGCACAAACACGCACCGCAAAAAAGCCCCTGTGTCGGTGTTATGGTCAGGTGTCCGCACACGGACAGATAAGGAAAAGAGTTTAAGGTAACACCCACAGGAAAAAAAACAGTGATTTTTGTTGTTTCATGCTACTGATTTGGAGGTAAAAGGCTCAAAAAGCAGTCTAGCCCCTCTGCAATACTCATCTCTGCTTTCACAATTTTATGCGTTCATATAGATGAGTATCAGACAAAAGTCCAGAAAACAGGACTGACAGGTCTTGGAGAGGTCACCCAGCCCACCCCAAAGCAGAACCACGTTCTACCAAAAATGACCTTTTCCTCAGCAACTGCCTAAACCCTGCTAAGACCGTCACATCAGTGGGGTTTCCACAACCTCCTTCAGCTTCCATCCCAGCAGTAGGAACATTACCCAGCAAAAAGTACCACTACTGATGGCATCGTCTACACCGTGAGGACATCCAGGGGGTTATAGGTAGCCCAAACAACATTTATTTCAGTGAAGAAATTGCAACTATTATAACCAACAGGAACACAGTAGGAGAGGGGGTCCTGATGCATCACAGCTGCTGGTACAAGAACCTACAGGACTGACAGCAAGGTTTCCTTCAGCTAAAAAAAGAAAATGGCTTTTTTTTTTTTTTAATTGTACAAGCACCCTTTGCAATGGAAAGGGAAGCCATAGCGCTGGCCAAAGGTAATTGATAACTCTGCAAGTCAGAAACCGCAAACTTTCTACTTATTCTAAATAAAAAACTTGTATGTTTGCATTGCGAGCCCCTTGCTATCCCTTCTGCTCAGCAACGTTTACAATGCGGGAACTTCAGAACAACCCAAATTCACTATAACACGCTGGCAGTTGAGCTGCAAGGGACCAGAAGCGATACTGCAGAAGTCAGCAATCAACTGAACAGCGCCGGTATGGGATTTGACCGATAGAAACACCAAAAAAGCCCTGCAGTAGTGCATTTGACTGTAGACACAGCCTAAAACGCCACCTCATTCCCCCCTCCTTTAGACTGCAGGAAGAAGCAGAAATTTAACAAAAGGCTTTTTCCCCTTACCTCTTTGTTGGTGACTCCCGGGGGCAAAGTCCCATGCTTGTAATCCTCCAACAACTGCACAGCTTCCTTCAGACGGCTCTGCAAATAAAACAGTAGCGTGGTCTGCAACGTTGGTCCTGCATGGATTTGTTTTATTGAAGGCAATGAATTTAAGTTATACAATTTTATCGTCTTTTGTGCAAACCTTGTGATGGGTCCTTTTACCCGTATGATATAAAAAAACCCAAAAGGACGCATGGACACTTGTTTTGCTGGTTGGCACAGCCCTGCTGTCTACAGAAGTGGTATAGAGGAAGAAAGAAAAGAGAAAATACAAAAAACTCCCCCTTGCAATGCATCTAAAGAAGACACCGTAAAAACTTGAGAGGCTTCAGTGCGGTACCAGAGATTTGATAAACCTCGGAGATGAATGAGTGCTCACTTAAAGGTAGAAAATAGTTTAAGACAAAACGGATACGTTTAGGTGCAATGTAGAATACCCATCTCAGACACTGGTGACACTCCATGCCAACTCTCAGACAAGTATCTCCCAGTGATGTCAGCTGGGAAACCGCTTAGATTGAAGACCTGACTTTGCCCCCCCACGCTCTCCCAACGCGAGTACTGGGGAGGTACAGCTGAAGGGAGGAGCAAGGTAGAAGCCTGCACATATTAAGCATCACCACTAAGAACACAGTGCCCACTAAGGAGTTACAACGCAGCAAGTTTTAGCCCGATCTCGGCACAGCCACACGAAGAAGAGCAGCTCCACTGGACCTAGCGTTTAACGGCACACAAGGCAACGTACCAGCGCCGCTTTGCAACTGCGCACTGAAGTTCAAGTAGAGTTAATTTAACTGAAATACCACGACATTTTCACATACTTCAGACGGATCTCTGAGTGCCACTACGCTGAACCGCTGACCTGTGCTGCTTTTTTTACGGCGCCTGTTACACACTCATTCAAACAGGGTTTTCGCAACCTGTTATGTTCTCTCTAAAAAAACCAGTCAGTCATCAGTGCAGTTAAAGTTAGAACCCAGCTATCACTAGCGGTACAAATACAAGCATGTGTAAATAAAGATCTTCCTCACATTGTCACAAAATAGAAGAATAAATACATTTCATGTGTTCAAGGGATCACAAGAGCATTAAGCCATGCTACCAGCCTGTCAGAATCATCAATCTACTCCCAGAACAGTCATTCATATATGTAGAAATATAAAAAAAGTGTTCTGCAGTTGAAGCAGTCAAGGTTTATATATACATATAATACTTCAAGAACTATTTATATAATAATTTCAAGAAATATATATATAGTGTGTATATATATACACACACACTATATTATATAGAGTATATATATCTCTATATATGTACACTATATATTATATACCTATTTCTTGAAATAAAAAAGAACACGGGGAGAAGTAGACAGGTAGAAAGATTCTTTGGTTAGTCCAAGCTAGAGAGGAACAAGTCAGGATATAAAGAGCGGCTTCGGTGGGGTTAAATCTGCTTATCCAAGCCTGCAGAAAGCACCAGATCACCGAGTAATGGCTCCCAAATATTTGAAGCCAAACAATCAGTCAGCTAAACGTTTTCAAAAGCCTCCTGCAGGTTATCTGTCATCCAGATGAGTAACATCGACTTCGGTTTGACATTTCTGCACTAGCTCTGTTGTTTTGGCAGCTTTTCTAATATTAGTGCCAGAGGACATTTCATAAATACAGAATATTTTGTCTAAAATAACATGTAGTGTGATGGTGGCTCATCTAAAGCCCCATGGTTTCAGTGTAATCCTGTCAAGGCTCCCCATCATCACTGCAAGCTCCGCTCTCACAACCCTCCTGTAAATAAGGCGAGCGCCCCTGAGCTCATTAAGAGCTCGCGTCCATGGGATCGGTTGCAGGGAAACTACTTTTCCCTCTTTCATGCAAACATCAAAGAGTACTTTGTTGTTTCCTTGGAAGCGCCAGCAGTTACGCCAACCTGAAAGCGGCAATTAATGAATGACTATTGTCCCTAAAACATTCAACACACAGGACATATGGAATAGTGGCAATTCCTTCACTTCGCAGAGCAAGCGGGTTGGGATCGGATCCACGACCATTTTTACACTGGCTGAGCTCACATCATCAGCGCCACATTATTTCCAGCCCTGGTATTTTATATATTCTCGCACTGATTAGCAGCTACTCAGCAGAAGTGGAGAGTCTGTACAAAGACGCCAAATGAAGCTTAGCATCAGATAGGAAGGAACTCTGCAAAAACCTGTACGTTCTTGGCAAAATGTGGGCTCAGAGATGGGGCTTGTTCGTGTTGGGTGCTAATGCCGAGGTCAGTGCTACCAGCCCGAAGTTCACGGCGCTGTGTCACTACACACATGTAACAAGTGATGAATTTTTTGTTTTCTGCCCTATTTCTGGGCGTGTTGTCCTGAAATTGGCTCCCTCTTTGACCCAGTCTGTCCCATGCTCCATGCCTGACATGCCCCTGCAGAAAGAGCTGCCGGTCGTTCTCTCGCGTTTCGCTAAGCCACTTGCTCAGGACTTCCCAGAGCTGCTCTGGACTTCTCTTACTAGATGGGGCTTAGGTCCACTCACAGATTCTGGCATCACCCTCGACTGCTGGCGCGTTCATTCCCTGTCCCGAAGGGGACTAGGCTATGTTGAGAGCATGAAGGATCTCAAAAAAAGACGATCAAGGCCAAAACTGGACTGTATTTTAGTGCTAGGTGCAAGCACTTTCTTTTGTTCTTCTCTTCCCATTTATCGGGGAATCAGGAGATCAGAAAACTATATTCATCAGTTTTTACAAATTTTACAAAGAGTATCGAAGATGAAGAATGATTGAGTGTGTTCAAGAATCTCCCCCCTTCTTCAAAGGCTAAGCAATCACCCATTTCACCTAAAAAGCTGGCTGTGGAAACACTGTGCCTTACCCCCAAAAATCAGAGAATGACTTAATATAGAAAAGCTTTCATTACTGGTTCAGAAAAAACATCCACCCAACTCAAACTTTATCCAACAGTGGCCACAAGCAGGTGCACAGGGAAAAGCAAGAAGGCGGCAAGCAGGAATAACGTCTCCCCTAAGCACCTTCCCAGCCTCCCACTGCTTTCAGCCAAGGCAGATGAGGTTTCTGTGGATTTAGTCATCTTCAGTGGATTTCTCTTCCAGCTGCTTGCTTGAACCAAACTGCCATCATCCGAGAAGACATAACAGACAAGCTGTGTATAGCAACAAAAATGTGTCTTAACTCTTAGCCCCCTTTCCTTATGTGTATATATATATGTTAAATCTGTCTTAAAATTTAAACTTATATTAATGAAAAATAATACGCAAGTGATAGAGTGAATAATACATGAGTCCTTTCCTGGAAGGAGCTCGCATTCTTTAGGAGCATAAGTAAGTATGTCCTGAATACTTCAAGGGAGAAGGCCAGTCACTGGTCAAACTTCTCCACATCTATCCAATATCCCAGACAGAGAAATGAGTCCTTATTATTTCAGCCAGTCCTCTTGACATTGGACTAAAAGGAAGAGCTATGAATTAGGATGATATTTTCTGGTGATGTAGCACTGGGTGATGCGCTGTTCCTCCAGAAGGGCTGAAGATCTCCTACAGAAGAAAAGCTGACCTCAAGAAGCAGGCACATGGGATGAAATCCAACGGCGCAGACGCGTGGCCATGCTCTTCTGGACAGGCTCAAATTTCTGCAAGACCCTCAGGGCTCTGTAGCTGGAATGACCAACTACAAGAAAGACCAGTTAAGAGTGTTGGTTGATCACTGGAAAACTATGAAGCATTGCAGGCATGAGAAACAAATAGGATTTTTAGGCTGTTTCAGTCATTTCCTACCTGTGAAGAAAAGTAATCAGACAAGATCACAACAGGACTTGAGCTTCTTGAAGTTGTTCTTGATAGCTCCTTACCCTATCGGCCTCACGGTTGTTTAAAAATATCATATTAGGAAGAAGCTATTACCTAGCATGAGTATCAATAAAATATAATTGTATAATATTTTAGACAGCCCGATAATCCAGAGGTGAAAAGCCAGGCAGCTGAATGACTAATGACTGCAGATCCAGGAAAGACAACTCTTCTTGCCTCCAAAGCTAGAAAATAACCCAGGAGTGCCAGCACAACATTCTGGAGAGGCATTTGTGCTCATTATTGGTACGTGTTTTTGTCCCTGAAATTACCTACACTGTGTGTCTTGCAAATTATCTACACAGAACAGCATGTAACTCTGAATGAAAAACTGGAAGTAATAGATGAATGGGTCTGTGTTCTATTTTTTTCTCCTTCTCTTGAGGAAATCTTAGTAGTTACTATAACAACCCTGGCCAGATCCCATCTTGTTTAGTATGGTAACAAACAGAAAACAAAAAGCCCGATTTTGCTTTTAAAATTGCAGTCTTCATGAATTTCCTCTTTCAGCTCCATGGGGAGAGAGGGGAACTTTCTCAAAGAAAAGAGTCCTAGACCAACACTGCTGATGGTTCCCGAGGTTGACAAAAGAGCGGTACAGAAAGCGAACAAAAGTGTTAAAACGCAAAGACCACATTAAGCAGACGCCTTTCACATGGCTTGGAGGTGTTCAGGTAGTTTTAGCGAATGACCCACAGCCTCAAAATTTCGTTAGTGAAAGTACACGGTTGCCTTTTATCCCTTCTAGAAAAGTCAAGCACATTCTTTTAACCAGAGCCTCCAAAAAATAGGAAATAACTTTACAGCGTGCAACAGCTCCAAATGCCAACCAGCTCCACTCCCTGGCTTTTAGCAGGATACAGCATTATTATGATAGTTGATAATGTCTAAGATTACACTTCATTTCCATTTTAACAGGGAAAAAAAGAGGTCTGTCTACAAGGTTGTGCTACTGTTTCAATATTTATTGTTGCTTGATTTCTCTACTGCTATCTGTAGGAAGAAGTGTCACTTGAGTTTTTACAGCATCACTTAAAAAAAATATGCAACCACAGTTTTTACTAGTATATATCATTTCTTTCATACCCCTTTTCTCATAAAAACTAGAGCACTTCTAGTGGTGGATGATGGGGTCTCAGCTCTCACAATAGGGTGCGAGACAGA